ATATCATTTTAGAGTGAGAAAGCAATGTTATCAGTTCAGTTAATGGTATACAAAATGTAAATGGTAATCCTCAAAAGTTATAAGGTTGTCATTAGATGTATGGGCTACACAAGCTAACAATCTAAGGACATGAAGGACACATATGTCTGGTATTGTGGGAAAGTCATTAGGACATTGATAATGTTGCACATTCTAGAACAGCCAGATCATTTCATTCAAAATGTGGGAAGTACATGTACATGTATATTTCCTAACAGTATGTTTCCTAAGGATCACGTCAATTTCTGGCACATCTCCGAAAATCAGAAAGTTAGGTCCTCGGTAACAAAACAGTAAAATGTTTACATGTAATTAAGTCTTTGAAGCACCAACTTTTTTTTCTTCATACAACAGTGCTCAGAAAACATATGTGGAATTCCTGATCATTGTTCACAATTATACGTCATATCAAGGATATTTCCCAAGTTTGCAATACATGAGATACAATTCACAGCTGAAAATGTCAACCCAGAATTTTTTTAAATTTCAGACAAGGAATTTAAGGAAACCATTTTGTTTATCAATTATCGCTCTCTGAATTTTAACGTGTGAGCATGGTCTATTGTTGGTTCATTTGTTCATTACACGTTTATTCAAAATGGGAGTAATGTAGGGCATATTAGTGAAAACAAGAGACAAATAGTGTTTTTACTTGGTAAAACGTACTCTTCCTTTAAGTTAAAGCACAATCCAGTCATTGGCGATAAAGTAAAATGTTTATAAATATTGAAAAAATCAAATCAGGATTAAGGTCTTGAGCCCAGTACCCCACTGCATGATTTCATGTGGCATGCCAATGTCTTGCTAGCAGCACCCATCAAACCTTACGTGACATCAGCACCATCCATACACTATATCTAGACTTCTCAAAACCCCAATCTTAAAGAAAACTTTAACAACCCAAAAAATATATATATTATAAAATGAGTGCAATGGTCAAGGACAGAAAATAGTGGATTCTTGGTTTTTGTATAGTCTGAGGCAAATTTAACCTTTAAAGTAGGGCTGTCCATTTTCAAATAATGTATTATTCGATTCCACGAAAGATGAGTGTTTTGCAGTCAGTATTTTATTACTGTAAAGGGGCTTTAACCTAAAAGGATGTGAACGATGAACTGCCGTGGACAAAAACAGTTACTATTGACAAAAAGTGGCACCTGACAATAAAGCACCACAACTTTATGATAAAATAACTTCAGAGTCGTGTGTGTATGTTTGTAGCTTTTTTGTTTTTGAATATTCAAACCAGCGAAAAGCTATTGAATATTCGTTTGATGATCAAATATTTGAGTATTCGGTATGTTTGGGACAGCCCTACTTTGAAATTGAAGATTGAGGATCAGGATATAGAAAATCACTGTCTAAGAGGCAATATTGACATGTTAAAACAAACTTTTTACCTCATGGTCAGCTGTCTTTTAAGTTTTTTACATAGCTCTCAATTTTATTAAAATCTCATCGACTGCAGAAGTAGATACAGCAACAGGACTCCTGGCAAACCTCCGAAATTATTCAACTGATTTATAACTGTTAAAGATTTTCACAAAGCGAGGGTCTCTCTCTATTTGTTCTTAGCTGAAGCTGATTAGTTTTCCTAGGGAAGCAAAATTATCATACCGGTACATGTACTTTGATATCCTAAATGTTTCTTTTTTTGTCTCTTGTCCTACTTGTTCATCCCATTTCACGTAATCCCTGGCCCAGTTTGCGTAGAAGTAACTGCATAGAGGTTTCTAGAAGTCTCTCCGTTCCTATAGAGGTACTAGTATCACCCTGTGTGTCACTTCTAGTATTACCCTATGTGTCACATAGTGCCTGATCCTCTGTGCTGCAAGCTGGCCATCATTTTTGATACCTCTGGAATGTACTGACAAAAAGTGCACTGAGGGGGATGTTGCTAAAACACAGAAATTGCTCATATTCATCATCACAAAAATTGTAAAACTTTGTTATGTGTTCTATATTGACTGAGTTGTGTTGGGAAAATTGTTAAGGAATAGTTGGAAAAATTAGCACATTAGTTGGGTGCCCTTATATTGGAGTATAAAAAAAGAGTACTCAACACTTCTATGGGCACATGTGAGTGTTCAAAGGGGTTTACCCCCAACATCATACTCCCTCTCCACCCCTCCCCCCCCCCCAAAAAAAAATTATTAATCTCAAAACTGAGAAGTATGTGAATTTTGGAAATTCGCCAAAATTCCCCCCCCCCCCAAAAAAAAAAAAAAAAATGATCCTTAGCAATTAGAAATTATTAAGGTAGCTTTTTAACTGCATATATTCCCTAAAAGCAGTGCTTTGTTTGTTTTGTTGTGGATTAGAAAGATTAAAACACAGAAAGCTTAATGACATCCCAATTTGTTGGTTAAGTGCTTTACGGAATAGCACTTCTTTTGGCAAGTTACCCCGGTATGAAACTGATGAATGAGAATGTGCAAATATTCTACAAAGAGCAACTTAATTATTCGTGAGCAATTTCTGCAATTAGCCATTATCCTTCACCATATGATTAATGTGTTTACAATGGTTTTGTGAATGCATGTGTATTTTTTTTCCATACTCAGTGTATTCATCATATTGTAAATGTTTCATCAACTTGTACAATTTACTTATTTGTTTTGAGTTGATACAAAACATTTGTAAACGTGAATTTAAAAATGTAATATTGGAACAAGTCAAACTTCAGCATTAAAATGTCCAACTTGTAATTTGGACAACAAACATAATCGCTTAAAAAAAATTCAAAAATGAAAGATGAATCATTTAACAAGAAAGCACAACTGATAGATAAAAATGTTATATCAAGGTGACTTAGTTATGTGATTTTCTGATTAAGATTCCATTTGATTAGCAATACTAGAAGTAAATTGGATCATTCGTGATTTAATGGCTTCAATCAGGCAGAAATCCCCACCTCTCAATACTAAGTTTAGTTCAGTTTTTGTTCACAGGAGCATGGTTTTTGACATTAGTAATGTGATTGATTGGAGGTTTTATACGATGGATTGTTAATGTATGATTTATCTGTCAGGATGTAATCAGCAGAAGTGCCCCATTTTATAAGTTTACACCTTCTGATGTGTCTATCTTTATCCTCCAAACCTGAGGTTGTTCGAGGATGTATGTGTGGGAAATATTTAACAGCTGTAGCATTTCACACAGACAAAAATATAGTTGGAAAGAAAAAAATAGCTCAGTTACTTAAGTGGTGAATCATGGACTAACTAGGAATTCAGAATGATTGCATCATGTGTCTTAAAGCATGAATTGAAATTTGAAAACAGCCTACAAAACTATTTATAAGATTGTTCTAGAAAAGGAATTTTTAAAAAATTAGTCTGGCTGATTTTATGTACTGGTAGTTCAAGTTTTGACTCTTATTTGGAGTATTCCAATGATATGCATTCTTATGTTGTTCGATTTTGTATCTCTTAAATGTAATGCATTAATTTTTCTGCCCATATTTGTTCTCCCCTTAAACAATGTTATTTTTAAAGGGACTATACAGCATTTGCAAATAAAACTACCAAATTATCACGAAATACCTTACTGGACTGTTAGTGAATGACAGTCTCAAGCATCCTGTAAAGTCATGGCACCTCATGTGCTGTAATTTTCAAGAAAAGTGGTAATTTTGTATCAATTTGCAACACTGGTTGGCCAAAAACTGGCTTTTTCAAATACTGCTCCCAATTGATCATATTTTGTTAGTCCGCATTTTCTTTCCAATCGATTGCATACGTGAACGGGTGCAAGCCAGCTAGACCAATTCCCTGACCTTACAATTCCCCAATGTCTATAAATTGCTTCAACTCATTTTAAGTGGGGTCAGAGAACCAGACTACAAGAACATGATTGTTTTTCTTGGCTTTTCCAGCATCTACGAACCAAAACGCCAAACAAGTCAGTGTAACAATATTTGCTATAAAATACTAACCTCCCAAATCCATCTATTCTGAAAATTACAGCAAAAGCAAATGATGTATATTCCCTTTAAGGGAAAAGATCACTGTATTGCAATGCATGTCGATATATTTTTTGAGTTGATGTTTCATTGCAATGTGTATAATTTTGATATATTTTCAAGTACATTATATGTTCATGTGTTAACATTTCTTTGAATTTAATTCTTACTTTTTTGGCATTTTAATTATTTTATTCACAATACATGGGATGACAGATCATTGCAAACAGCCTTTCCTCAACATATTGCCATGGGAAGCTTAACAAATGAAATATAATCACTCTTGTCTCTTAATTCTGCATATTGCTTATGGTCATAATCCAGTTTAACTTCAGCTTTTTGTAGGCAATCAACTTTGGCAGCTTAAACTCTGTTACTTTTCTGGCCATACATTTTTCCTTGTTAAGCAAATGAACTTCAAAAGTTCTTTTACCCGGTATACCAGAAAACATATTTTTTATAACAACTTTTCACACTCTTTATTGATATTTGCCAAATGAAAGTAGTTTTTTCTAAATGCACGGAAATGTGCAATGAGGGCCCTTTCATTGGGCTGTTGAGACAATTTGTTAAGCTCAGAAAACAAAATTATCAAGCAACAGTCACGAGCCAGACTGTTATAGCATGCATTCCCCTGAATTGTTCTGTTGTGATTAGATGAAATCACTAAGCAATCTGCTTAGCAGCTTTCCATGACTTGATGCCAGGCCTCCTGTTGCGCCAGTAGCCAATATGAGGAAATGATAAATTGATAAGCATACATGTAGCCAATAATTCATTGTGTAAGGACTAGTTTGAAGAGCAAAAACCCAACATTGAATTTACATCACCCAATGCAAAAATTCCATCTTACAAATAAGTGATCAAGACAAGTTGTTTTTCAGTGATATTAATTGTCTTGCATGTCTATAATATTATTGTAACCACTAACGATTGATCTCATTTTGTGTCTAATTGTAATTGTCTTGTTCCCTGCCTTCCTTTCCTTGCCTTACAGCATGAAACGAGCTAGCTCCATGTCAGTCCTCACCAGTCGGGCAAATGATGATGTAAGTAGAACCCAGAACCGCCCAAAACATTAAGACGCCAATAGATATGCCTACTAAGCACTCACAAAGTTACATCTCTCACTACAGTGAAAGCTGGGTAATATGTCACAGTGAGTATGTATGGGAATACATTTTCGTCTTCACATCTGCCCAGCAGTTTCTCTGACAATAAATATACAAATATTTGATAAAAGTATGTTATGCTGGAAAAATTTGAGGAAAATAATTCAAATGTTTGAAGTATGATTCTTTTGAAGGTCATGGAATTTAATGTACATGTAACTTATATTTTGGTGTGGTGTTTAGGTCCAAAGTCTTTATGGGTACTGTTATTTAATATTTTCCAATTTTCCATTAGCTAGAATTGCTTAACGAAACATAAAATGTACAAATGTCATCCAGAAGGAAGGTTTCATTTATCATCAGTTGAACCTTAATAAAGCTTGGTTAGTGTAAACAGATGGTAATGAAATGCCCCCTCTCCCCCCCCCCCCCCCTTCAATAAAAAAAAATTTTTTTTTAGTCCTTTGGAATATACAGCTACCATAGTGGGTAGTTTTAACAGCAGGTCCTGCACAGAGAGAAGCTTTTAATGGTACAATATATAAGCATCTTTAACTTCAAAATTACCCCTTTTTGCCCTCTGTGGCTAAACAATTACTGCGAAGTGTCTTGCTCAGGAACACAAGCATGCAGAAGCCATGATTTGAATAGCGCAGCCTTGGGTGCATGAGGATCTTATGTTAACACTCTTTGATCTCAGCACTTGTCTCTCCCTTGTTTTAAATGAGTTGCTTGTCTTTCTGTTTGAATCCACTCAGGCCAGCTCTCCAATACAACTCAGCCAGCGTGGGCGAGTGGGAAGCCATGATAATCTCTCCAGTCGACGGCAGACAGGTAACTACTGATGACCAACCAACACTCCTCCAACTTCTGTAATATAAACAAACCCTTCCCCGCTATGTCATTGTGTCGATGGTCACCACATTTCTCCTGTGTATTTTTCCAAAAAAAGATGTAAATGTCAAGTGTTCTATTTGCATTGAAGTGTAAAGTGCAGTCTTATGAATTGTACAGAATAGAAATGAATCGTCCTGGTGGTAATGTTCAATGGAAACATGGTATGGTTGCATTGAGCACTTCAAAGAATCCAGTTTTAAATAAACATCATGAACAATAAAAAGCAAACTGCTACCCAGAATACATGTATGTAGGATGATGATGGCTTCACTTTCATCAAGTTAGCAACAGCGACTCAGAAGAGACAGTCCACTTTTCTTCCATATTTGTGTTTTTCTGTTGAATGCTTTTGTTTTTGTTTTGCCATTTTGTTTTTGTTTTGTAGATTTACTAAGTATTGAAATAAAAGGAGTAGAGGAACAAGGAGAAGAGCCTCCAGTAATATGACAGGTTGAGGGCATTCAATTATATTTGGCTCCATGTTGCAAATAAAGAAGGGAATATTCTGGGGTCTTATTGGGACTAAAAGTCTGGCTTTAAAAAAAACAACTTGCAGCCAAATATAGGCTAACTTTTATAGCCGTTATTTTTAAGCATCATCTGAAAACGAGTAGTTGTCATAGATTGATGCTTAAATACCTGCTTAAAAATCTGTGCTTGCCGGAACAAGAAAAAAAAGCTTGTTTGCACACTTACATACTAATTTAAATGCTCGCTGAAAATTAGTACCGTTTCTAACATTCAGTAAGTAAACAAAACTGCTTTGTAGCACTGATCATGTCTTCTCAGAGACAAGTCAGACAATGCAGTTGCTGAGAAACAATTTTAAAAACCTGATTTTGGCTTTAAGAAATTACTCAAGTTTTTCACATACCTTGGGGTTTGCATGAATGCATGGTTGACTCATAAGTCTTTCATATGTGGAAAGGCTTGATGAGTTTTTTTGGCCAAAGAATATTCCCTACTAACACTCTCTTCAACTTTACATGTGCACATTAGGGGACATTATTCATGATTCATACTTACATTGTACATGTAGAATGTGGTGATTGACTTAGTTATGCTTTCTCTTCACGGACAAATCAAAGTGCATCTTCACCCAATTGACTAATATTTCGTAATGCTTTGCTGAAAGACTGTTACAGAAGAAGCTTTCCTTTACAAATGGTGGCTTGTTGAAAACCAATCAAACAGCAATCAGTAACATGGTACCATGGCTTCTCCATGTTCTTTAACGTGTATTACACAACACACGGGACCTAGGGCTTTACATCTCATCCAAAGGAAGAATCAATAATGGTACACTGCCTTGCTCAAGAGCACAAGCACCATGTTCCAACGGTCAGGATTCGAACCCATGTACCACGGCACACAAGTCGAACACTGTAACATTGGACCACAGCACCCCACATGTATGTATAACATATATATTTGAAGCTATACAACTTGTTTCGGCCTATAAACGTTTTACTCTAAGAAATGTTCAAATGATCTACATTTGTACCCATGAATCAAAACATCAACCCTCAATATTGGGTCAATATTGGTCAAGTGACCCATTGGTGTGTTAAAAGTATACCAGGGGAAGTGGAAGGAAACTTTGACCTTTTTTGACCTTTTAAACAGCAGGAGGATTTAAGGATTATTTGGGAAGGAGAGTATAACCAATGCAACTACATGTATATACTCCACACACGCCAAACTTTCACTGATCATCAATGCACTCGAGATATTTATAATGAATAAGTGACAACCAACTCAACGCATCAAATGCTCAACCTTCTTCACTTTCATGCCAACTCCACCCTGACCCCACCATTAACTTGGGGCATATTATCACCAAATGAAGGCCAATAGGCCATGGAGTCTTTACACTCCATTTTAAGGCAACCTGTTTGCAATCTGTCAACCAAACTTGTTTGATGTCATCTTGGACTCATACATTGTACCATGTTTTCCATTGCATTGCCATTGAGGTCATCCTCAACATCATGTATATATAGTAAGAAATCCCATCCAAAAAATGGTGTAGTCATGTGAATTGTGGGCTTTACATTTTGGGGCTTTTTAGAGGGAATCGCAGGGTTTTTCCACGCTTGAAATACTAAATGCATTGCTTCGTTAACGTTTAGCTTGATAACTGTAAAAGGAATTGAAATTACATGTATAACTAAGGTTAGTCCAACAAACGTGTGTGTGTAAATAATGCCTAATTGACTTCAAAACTAAACAGACAAATAAATATATTATCATGTTACAAAATTTAGAAAAGAATTGAAGAAGGTCTTCATCTATTTTAGTTCCACTTTTCTTTTTTCACTGTATCTTCTTGACATTATTTGAGGAAAAGTCAAAATGCACAGATTGGGAAAATGAAATTTATTTCAGGATAAAGTAATGTATTAACAGATTTTCACGTTTGTGTGGAAAGGGATTTTTGCCAGTTTTGCTGAGAACCAGTGAAGGTACGGTATAATACCCAATGTTTAAAAAGATGGTTTTGTGGGAAAATATGTGAAAATCCTGATATAAAATTAAAGTTCTTCTTTGACTTAATCTTTAAAAAAAAAAAGTGAAAAAAGGCTAAGGACAAGTAGCCATTCAGCACTACATAATTTTTGTTTTCTTTGTCAAATTGTAGTACCAGTAATTTTGTCGCCGTACAAATTTCACCAAAGAACAAGCTTAATGTTTTTTCCCAGATGATGTATTTATAACCATGCACCGTAAGATAAACAATTTTTGGTTTTTTTGGTTTGTTTTTTTGTTATTTCTGTCGGTAATACAAATATTTTTCATTCGGTAGTGGTTTAAAACCAATTGATATTTTGTCAGAATTAACCATTAATTTAATTAACTTGGAAATGAACATCAGAATTGTTTTTTCTCTGAGATCTGAGTCTGGTACCTGTAAGCGTGTTATGCTAAATCCCATTCATTTCAGTGAGAGAGACTGGCACATCAGTACCCAACTGGTGAATTCTTGTATAATTGTAATAGTTTAAAAGTATATATATAAACACTATATAGTTAGCTGTAAATGTGTAAGTAATGTATGCTGGAGTTGCGTACATAAATTCTGTGCAACCGTTATTTTTGCATTTGCATATTGGTAGATTCAAACAGTGAGCACATTCTTTGATGAGGATTTGTTATGCTAGAGACCTAACTCACTTGGTGTTTGTCAGGTACATGTAACTGTCTGAATCTCCAAAAATCCAACGCTGTACGAAACCGCAAACCAACTGCATTTTCTAACTGCTTATACAAAACTACTGACTTCAAGAAGCATTCAGTTGCTGGAACATACATTCCAAAATCTGTTAAAATAAAGCAGGGATGTGTTCCACACTGCAAATATTGGCAATGTTTTCAAGAGTGGAAGGTACTAGTTTTTGGTGCTGGGGATTGGGGGGTTGTAAGGGTTTGATTCTTGCTAAAGAATGCACAAATTGCATCAAAAGGATGTTGACAATCATTTCTTACAAACTATCCTGGTTTAGCTAAGGTTTGGTGGCAATCTCATCAAATCAAGTACATTCACCTGCAAAGAGTGGCCAAGTTGAAGAAGTCTTGAAAGGGCATGTATGTGGAATGGATGTGTGGCTTTATGACCACCTGTCTATAGTGTGGTACATGTAATCTGTTTGTTGTAGCCACCTGTTCATTCATCATTTGACTAGAACAATAATTCATTAGTAATTTCTCAGAGTGTGGATTTGACAAAATGTGATATCAACTAACTAAATAAAATTTGATGGTGGCTCTTTACTGCAATATAAACGATTTGGGATAACAGTGATTATTGTTCTTCAAGTTTGTCATATGTCTTTAGAAAATTGAAGCTGTGAATGACTAAAATGCAATTTGTGTTGATCCATCATTGCAAGGTAATGGTGCATCCCTAAAAGTGGACAGAAAATGTGATGGTTCCTGGATTTGTCTATGAACAGAGTATGTCCAGTTCAGGTTTGGTAGAACTGAATGCACTAGTGTCTGTGATCAGAAGTTGACCAACCATTTCTGGAATATTATATGAGCTGTCAATCAAAATGTTTGTGTCCAAACTGTCCATGCTTTATATATTGTACATAAAGCTGTGCCTTTAATTGTGGATGATTTGTAGGTAATTGAGACTTAGGATTAATTATCAAGGTTTCCTGTTAGGTGTTACAAAATGATAAGTGTCCTGTCTCAATCGTTGGACCAGTTAACTCCTCATAAACATCTGGTTGAAACAAGTACATGTACATGTTTGAGTGTTGGCTTATTTAGGACTTGATGGTACGGAACCTCTTCTGGGAAGACTTGAACTGAATAACATCAGTAATTAAATTTAAAATGAACTTTTTATGTATTTCATTAAAAGTCCTTATATTACTCAGATGTTACTCTTCAATGCTGTCACACATATTGCATGAAAACAGGTTGCTCGTAGAAACCTTTTGATTTAGTATTCAATGCTAGAACAACGTAAATTGGAATATGAAATGGAACTGTATTGTAACCTTCAAATATCTTCAAAACTTTTCAAAGTGATAAACTGAGATATGTATTTGCATATGTCGGGGTTTATCCTAAGAAATGCTGGAGAAAAATGGCTTGCAAAACAAATTCCTTTGAAAGGCTTTTTGTTGATACTGTTCAGTTTTAGAGCGAGCTTATCAAAAAAACCCAGAAGAACATCAGCAATGTTTTTGAGACCATTTGAAAAAAAACTTAAAATTCTGCAACCCTCAAATTCAATGCTTTTGTATATGACTGTGACAGTATAGCAATAGAATTCCGTTCATTGTGTTGATTTTTGAACGAACCTTGAGCAATACTTGTAAGTGTAATGTCATTCATTATTATGATGTTTGACTTTACAGTAGACGTTAAATGTTTATTTCATTGAATCAAACTACCTGTGTATTTTTGAGTTATGGTGTTGGAACTCCCTACCTTAACTCGTGTACCCTACGTGTATCAAATGCAATATAATCCTGGTAGATAACATCATAGCTGTTTAGACAGGTGAAGTAGACATGTCATTCAGTTGTAGGTTTTACAGTCCTTGTACAAAATTTGCATGCTACATCTGTAGGCAAACCTGCCTATAGTGGCCACCTTCTTAAAAGGTCACCTAGCCGGAATTGATGTTTCCAGCGATTAAATAGTGCAAAGTGTGGATGGTGTATCCCTACTGTAGTCATTTATGTGGCCTCTGTATGCAGGTTTGACTTTTTTATTCAGTGTTTTTGAAACAATAACAAAAGCAACGATACACCATTGGTTAATAACTCTGCATGTTTTGATGAAAAGAGTAGACTGCTCAATTATAAAAAATATATCTGTGGGGTTGCCACTTTTAAAAACAAGTTCTGCACTTGTAACATAAACAACATCAAATACTGACAATCCAAGATTGTGAAGAGTGAGGCCCAGTCAAGATGAAAAATTGTTGGAAGGATGATAAGACTTGAACAATGGTGTATTGTAAGGGTGGATCCATTGTGCAGGAGGGACACTAAAAACATTTGGAGGTATGTCTAGCCCCCATCCAGCACATTGGGTTCACCCTGAGCTATTTGGTTTAGACTAAAAACTTAATACCACTTGAGCAATAATTTCATATTGGCAGGATTTTTTTTTTAGTGAAAATGTTCAAATGATGTTGCTATTTTGTTGCAGTTGTCTTAGTTCTGGTTTCTGGACCACACTATTAATTTAAGATTATTGGCATGAATTTGTCACTTTTGTGTCATAAGATATTTTTCAAATTGAATCCCATTTCTGAGTTTAAAAATGTGTTCGCCTCTGTGCAGTAAAAAAAAAAGTCTTCTTTTTTAAACTGAACCAACAAAAAGATTTTAAAATGCTCATAAATATGTTGCATGATTGCTAAACTGTTTTAAGTTCTTATAATGAATTAAGAAACAATATTGAAATAAGTAATACGAAACTCAACATCGCATTTTGTTATTGCACGTTATGAGTGTTACATAACAGGTAATAAACTTCAATGATTTTGTTCTTTGACTTGGACAGACTACATTTGAACACTGTTTCTCTGGTACTTAATGGATTGCAATATTGGTGACGAAACGAGTGACGTAAAGATGTAAACTCAAACATGTACATGTACTTGAGGTACTTAAGTGGGCATATGCTTGGTTTGGATGTGCTTAAAGGGGCTGAGCCTTTAAAATTCCCAAAACAACACATTCCGAGGTACCAAATCGGTATAGTAATGGTAGTGCTCAAAATGTAGTTTTAACTAGCGCTAAGTGTATAATCAATTTGTACCGTGTCACTATTGGAAAAAAAATATGGCATGGGATATTGCTAATAATGCTTAACAATTGAAGTAAATATGCACTTAGAAAAACATGTAGAAGTTAGCATTAGTGTGAAAAAGAGACAAATTGGATAAATATCTTAATATCAGAAATCAGATTTATATCTTTAGACATAACATCCCCTGGCATACCAAAATGTCACGAGGTTTTATTTGAAAGTAAAAACCAAAATGAACAGGAATGTCCACTTGACATAGTATTCATGATTGTATTTACAGCATTATTAAGTTCCATCCACAAAGACTACTGTATATCGTCTTATTAATGAGTTACTTCAAACTAACCAGTTATTTTAGAAAGATCTTTGGAGAAGACAATGTTTTTCTGTTCAGGCAGATGCTAACAAGTCAATGTAATTGACTCTGTATAAATTAGTGATGTAGATTCCAAGCCCAATTGAAGCTAAGATGTGAACTTTACTATTGCATAGTCACTTAATATTAAAGAAGCGTTAATTATCAAATGCAGAGTAAATATTGTAGTTGGAAAAGTCCATAAAATGCTGCTGCTTTAAGTAATGGACGCTCAGATAATGGAATTCATCAATTTACAATTTCATGGGTCTAGAAGTTGATGGAAAAGCTTAAGACCAAAGATGTAATGGTTGGGAGTTGTCTTTATCAGTGGGCAGTGTGACAGTGTTATTATTTCAATGTGGAATTAAAATAAACGTGTACATGTATAAGGGGTATAAGTTCCATTGTGTGTAATTTTTTATGTTCGGAGTTCCATTGATTAAATTTTAAATGTTAGTGTGGCCAACGCCAACAGCACCCCGCCTACTAAAGGTTTAACACCCTCCCCCCCCCCTCCCTCTTTGCGTTTTTAAATTCTGATGGTAAAGCTGAGTTGATAACTGGTACCCAGCCTGGTTATCAGTGCCGTGTGACTTCAGTACAGATTCATCTACAATCTTTCCCAATGCACCCCCCCCCATCCCTTTCAGCTGCTGACTAATGTTACACTAGCAAAATGAGACCAAATGATGAATGGAATGCTTGATAAATTTGTTCTTGAATTTCTTTAGAATGCAGGAGAAATCTCTTTCAAAATTTCCGGGGGGGGGGGCATTCCCACAGATCCCCCGGCAGGAGGTTAGACTCAATTTGCCCCCCCCCCCCAAAAAAAGTGTTTTATATCAACCCCCCTGTTTCCTGGAAGCCTGATCAGCTCTTGTATCAGGAAACTGGCTGCAATGATGCCGTGACCATTTTATGTAAATTAGACGAAAATGGTAAAGTCCATTGACCTGTGTGGTTAGACACTAACTAACCAACCAACCAACACACACACACATGCAAGTGTGTATAATTTGCCATCGGGGACCCCCTATTGTCCCTCTTCTGTTTGTACTTTTTAGGAAGACCTAAGACCTCCCATATGTCTTGTACACCGTCCGAATCCAAATTGGGGACCTCTCGGAAATTAGGGACCCTATTTGTCCTCTATTGTGCAACGTCCCCTATTGAATGCAGAAGCAAACTCACAAACTAACGCCGGTGAAAACATACCCTCCTTGGCGGAGGTAATTAGCGATGCTTGATCACTGGCGCCGCAGAACGTAACAGAGCAGTGAAATTCGTGAACCCGCCAAAAACATGGCCTTATGTGTTTCTCAGTAAATATGCCGCTCAGTATGATTGAAATGTTAAATTACAACGGAAGAAGAAATTCTAAATTTCATGTCAGTGAAAAAGATCGCCGTCATCGTTACCAAAACGTCAATACTGGTTACTGGCAAAGCTGACCTTCAAGTCTGGAAGAAATTGTTCGAAAACTTCTGCAAATCTATGTATTTATATCAATTTCCAGGAATTTCTCCAAGTTGTTATTTCACGAGTAGTTGAACAATTATATCATCAATTATTCCGAAATTCAACTGTTGTTACAGACGCTAGTGTTACACCTTGACCTATCTGCAAGAAAAATTTCGACGAGGATTTTCCGACCAAATCCATGGCATGGTTTTCAGCGCCGTATTTAGGCGCTACGGTTGACCGATTCAGTCGGCCCGGCAACACAGTGACGAAGGCGTGGATCTCGGCATCGACCAATAAGCCGGCAAAAAGGGTGATATACCAATTAATAACTCGTGAAGGATGCTTTTCTCCAAATTTTTACTACACACCATATATGGATAGGAACATTTTTAATATTCGTGAGGCTTGGAAAGTTGACATATTGCAAACGCCATGTGTTACAACTTTCAAAACTGCACGTAGCCTGGCCTTTTTTTTCAATTTCAACGAAAAGTACTTAAACGGAGAGGCTGGATAGTGTTTAATCAAAATTTCGGGAACAAATCCTCTGATTGTCTTAAATCACAGAATGGCCATTCTTAAGTTTCGCTAATTGCGGTAATTGTGATACCAAGTTCATGAAAATAGGACATAACTTCGTCATGAAATGTCCATTTTCCAACACAGGTATGCCTAAATGTTAACTTTTCCCACGGTCTAACTGAACATTTCACGCGCAGCGTGCACGTCACTGTGCGGTAGTGGACGAATGGTGGCGCTATTTAATATAGCTGCCGTGATAAGATTTAGATCCCAGACTTCCAGAGATGTTATTGCACGTGAAATTGAATCGGTGGCAGACTAAACTTGGACAGATGAAAGACAAGATGGCAGCTTCCATGTGGAACGACACTCGAGTTTCGCCACCGCCCATTGCAAGTTGTTCTTACGATTGTTACGAAATTGAGGAAGGTAGTACACAAGATACATGTTTTATTACACGCTGTAGATCATATTTACGGCTCTACTATAGCTCTACTGAGTGAAGCGTTGAACTTATAGCTCTACTGAGCTGAGTGGAGCGTTGAACTACTCCTACTCTAGCCTAGCTGGAGTTACCCACCCCTGAGTTTTATCATTGGGTTGTCATCTAGGGCTGGAGCGCATTTTTCTCAAAACTTGTAGTATTTGCAAAAAAAAATTGGAAAATGTTCAATTTTGACCCCGTTACACACTAATTGCAACTGCAACTCACCCCAAACTTGCCTGGAATAACCATTACACAGGTCCTTGAAGTAAAAAACGATCCACGATGAAGATTCAGCCTACAATTGCAGTGAAAACAGGAGGAATAACCGCTAACTTGACAACCTTGCTGGATTGGCCAGGACCGCCATTGGTTTGTGCACAAAAAAAATTGTGTACAATGAATGGCGGTCGATTAACAGGCACAGAGAGCGATCGCTGTCAACTACTCGTTTTTGCCGGCTGCGCTGGCTGTTGGCGCCTGACGTCACGCGGAAGCGTAACACCCGATGACTGTTTCATGCACTAGTATAAGGTTAACCACTCGCATCACAGCTTTGGTACTGGAACCGCAACCAATAGTGCATGAAACAGTCATCGGGTAATACGCTTCCGCGTGACGTCAGGCGCCAACAGCCAGCGCAGCCGGCAAAACGAGTAGTTGACAGCGATCGCTCTCTGTGCCTGTTAATCGACCGCCATTCATTGTACACAATTTTTTTTGTGCACAAACCAATAGCGGTCCTGGCCAATCCAGCAAGGTTGTCAAGTTAGCGGTTATTCCTCCTGTTTTCACTGCAATTGTAGGCTGAATCTTCATCGTGGATCGTTTTTTACTTCAAGGACCTGTGTAATGGTTATTCCAGGCAAGTTTGGGGTGAGTTGCAGTTGCAATTAGTGTGTAACGGGGACAAAATTGAACATTTTCCAATTTTTTTTTGCAAATACTACAAGTTTTGAGAAAAATGCGCTCCAGCCCTAGATGACAACCCAATGATAAAACTCAGGGCTGGGTAACTCCAGCTAACTCTAGCCCTAGCTTGAGTGACTCCAGCTGACATGCTCATATTCATTCACATGTAGCGCTGGAGGAAGGCCTGTGCGTTTCCATGTGGTAGCAAGAGACCCTAAAAAAATGGCCTCTCCAAAAATTGTTCATTTTCACCTCTAATATCCCACCCCAGAGTTCACTCACATACCTCATAATTTCAGCAGTCATTTACGAAGCCTAATGATCGATTTGAAACAAGACCAACAAAAAAAAAGTGAAAAATCTTGACGATTTCGGTGGCTTGTCCGTAAAAATACGCCTGTTCCAACGGCTGTATTCCATTTAGTAGTAAGGGAGGCGGGGGTGCTGGACTTTGTCATAGGTCTGTGGGTAGTACAGGGCCATTAATGAGAAGTCAGGGTACCAGACTTTGTCATAGGTCTGTGGGTAGTACAGGGCCAATGGGAAATCCCCCGATCTCAAGAAAAAAAAAAATAAAAAAAATAAATCTAACGGAGAGAGAGTGAGAGAAAGAAAAAAATTAGCTCCTCTACCTGTAAAAGGTGAGGAGCTGTTTTTTAATATAAAAATGGAGAGTAATATGTTTAGACCGACGAGTATTTGAAAAATTAATAAAAAATAATATCGGTTTTTATTAAATATATCAATGAGTGAAAACCTGGAGCTATCTAATAAAACAGATAAGTGCGATCATCATATAATCATCGAGAATGGTTTTTTAGTTTGTGAAACGTGCGGTGAAATAGTTTCGCGTTACTTTGATTTTTCGGCAGAAAATGCGCAAGAAGATCGTATCAATTGGTCAACTTTAAAGAGAAACAAAAGCAAAACTGTGGAGAAACTTATTTTGTCGGTGTGCCCAGAGCAAGGCTCAGAAGATGTTCAAGAAACAATCAATAAATATAACGAGCTCGTTAATTACAAAACATTGAGGGGAAATGGTTGCGTCAAACGGTCGTTAATAGCGGCGTGTTATCATCACGTCGTTGGATTAGACAAAGAACGAGTTAGAGATTTATTTAAAGTGACTCAAAATCAATTTAATAAGGCACTAAAGAGATACGATGACCACTACAATAAAGGCGGGGCCGAGGGCGTAGCCCTAAGAGGTGAAATAGAGGTATAACTCGGTGGATCGCTTTCATAATGTTTATTTACCGAGAATTTGAACTTGTAAGTTTTTCGATAAGAGATTTTTTTTCTTTTGCCAGCCGTTCGTCTACCCGTTTTTTAACTTCTTTTTCAAAGTCTGTATCGTTTTTAATTTTTTGAAGCTTTGTGCTGGTCTTTGTTCTGATTTTTTGCTTAAGCTCGTTAAATTTTGCGAGCTCTCTCGTAATCAGTAAGAACTCTTCGTGCGATATATCTCCGTCGTTGATGGCTTGAGACACGTATTCTTCAATAGTGTTAAGTTTGGAGTCCGCTAATATTTTAATCTGGTCGTGCTTTTTTAGCTTGGTGGATAATCGCCTAGACGCGATTCTAAGCAGAATATCTACACCAAAAGCGCCTATAAACGTTCCTTCTAGCACCAATCCAACGGGGGCTGATATAACACCCAAGAGAGCGGGAATACCGACAGCCCCCGCTATAGCCCCCAATCCTTCTAATCCTATCTCTACGTAATTAATAGTGTCGATCACTCTCTTTATTTTTTTATAAGTGTGCTCTCGGTGGTCTCTCTCTTTTAAGATTAAAGATCGAATCTCTTCAATCTTTTTTAGTCTGTATACTTTTGTTTCTTCGTTACTATTTAATCGGAGTACATCTCCAGAAATATCGGGGTATAACGCCTTACCATCTACACTCATGTTTTTAATATAAAAAGATTTTAAAATTAAAAGATCTCCAACTCTATCATGATACTCACACCCTTGTTGTTGATGATCTGTCCTTTTTCACCTATGATTGAAAATGTCAGTTTGTCGATTATACCGTTTTTAAGTTTTTTGAAATCCTCGACTCTATCAGGCTCGGGTTCGCGCGTACCCACGGGTACGATTTTTAAGATGTCAGACGGACGACCATCAAAAAAGTTTTCACTCGTACTTAATTGCGGGCAGCGAATAAACAAAAATTTAAACGGATGAATGTCGTAAGACCCCACATATACCACATTGGGTATCAGTCTTCCTTTGGGTAAATTGAGTAATCGAGAGACTTCTCTGTTTAAGCGCAATTTGAGATTGACGTCGGTTACCACCAACGTCACCTTTTTAGATTCTCTAAATATTTGAAAACTTACCCCGGGTATATAATTTAAAATGAAATCGAACCAATCGACGTCGTACCACCCAGGTGGGATGGTGACTGAACCGGTGACTCCGGCTGGTAACGGCGCTAAAAGACTCGGAGAAATAAAATCTAAATTATCACCAGACACGACAAGACTCCCACGTATTGTTATCCCAGCATGTCTAATTACTCTCGCTCTAGGTTCGCTTATTATACCTTGGATATATTCTAGCGCTATCTTTTTACCTTCATTGATGAAGTCTATTCTTTCAAATAAAGTTGTTATTAAAAATATAATCGTATTGCGTTGTACGTCGGTTAGTGTTCTTTCTTGACTTTTAACGTGTAATTTTATTTGTCTTTCAGATATTTGTTTTTTTTCTTTTTCGATCGATTCTAAAGCAGAGTCTAGTCTATCTTCTTCATACGCTTCTATAAGATCGTTTATAACTCTATTGAAAGTATTTTCGTCTCTAATTAAAAAGTCGTAGGGGTACTCGGGTACCAATTGCGCAATAAAATCTCTATCTGTTCTTACTTCTAGATCTGGGTTAACCCGTTCGTAACTTCTACTAGTATCACCAAGTCTTTCAGCGGGTCTCCCATCTATTTGCGTATACCAATCAATCTCCGTGGCGCTGGAAATATTAAAATATCCGGGGTTAAACATTACTCTTTTTACGCGTACAGATTTTTGACCGTTTAAATTATCTACAACGTCTTCTAATTTAAACGTCTGCTCATTTTGAAACAAGTGAAACGAATGCATTTATTTTAAAGTCTTTTTATATTAAAACTGAAACAAAACAATGGCTGCTTTTATGTCGTTAAAAAAGCAGATACAATCGATAGCTGATCAGGTAACGCAACAAGTAAATCAAAATGTAGCCAAACGACAAGCTATCACCCCAGCGCTTGTACTAGACAGTCCGTATCTCACTGGCGAATTCGAGATTACGGTCAACGCGTCTAACACGTTTTTAACCCCGTTTCCCGACTTAATCTCGGACTATAAAATATCTCGCCTCAATACCAACGATGCTGTACTTCGTTGGAAAATAGACCCCATGTCTTTTTATCAAAATCAGTTAAACTTTGCGATCTATTGCGCTACAACGGGCTGTGGTGTTGGAATCGATATTTTAAACTCGAACAACCGTTACGTTAAAGCCTTATTTAATTTTCATCTATACTTTACGGTGAGAAGGATATTAAACGACATGGCCGTAGCAATACCGGGAGAAGACTCGTTTGACGCTCTCAGCAACACCTATGATCGTGGAGCATTTACCAACATCTGTCGGACGTTTGCCATCGATCAAAATAAGTCTTTTAAACAGACGAGAGATCAAAAGACTTATGGCTTAGGTCGGCTTTTTCTTTGGAACGAAAAAACAAAATCGTTTTTACTCTTGCCGTTAGACTATGATAAAAACACGACCACACTCGACGATTTTATCAACCCCACGGGTGATAAAAATTGGGGTTTAGACGATCAAAAAAAACACGATGCTTTTTTTAAGCATTGGAAGGGTTATCTCGAACAAGACGACATCGTCAAAATGGCTTGGTTAGATTTTATACCCGACACGAGTTCGTTCACCTCCGCGGGAATCATAAAGATCAACGAATCGATCAGATCTTACGTGTACGCTTTACTCGGTGCGCAGGCTCAAACAAGAACGAGTGTCTTAACACC